ATCAGGCCTGGAGAGTCACAGGTCGTCACTTTTCTCCAGACTTTGAGGCCCAGGGACTCCTAGCCTCCCTTTCTCTCCAGGATCTCACTCTTCTCCCCTTTTCTGTTTTTCTCTCCTTAGGTTACCTTTAATTGCATAAAATGCATTATCCCAGAACATTCTAATATGTGCTCATAAATGTATCTTATGACCCTTTCCCACACGATCCTCTTTTAATTTAAACCCAATATCCTTTATTTAAATTCTGGATTCAGCATGTCTTTTTGGAAAATGAGATGAGGGTTATAGGTTAATATAATGGGAAATCATATCTGCTCAGCTTTTAACTTTTTCTGCATGTATGGAGTTTGTATGTTTGTTTTTTAATTTTCAGATAAGATGTTCCAATAGAATTGTACTCAATGATTGTCTTCTCTACTGTTTTTCTCGGACCTTGAGGAGATGTAGGGTATATATATCTGACACAGAGTGTGTCCGGTGGGCTTTAGGAGCTGTTGGAGGTTTGGTGAGAGCAGAGGGAGGGGTGTCTTGTGGGGCTTCTTTGCCAAAAGCACGTGGCAGAGGCTCTACCCGTCCGGACCTCTTCATCTTTTCTCATCAGGCCCTCAGAAACCGTGGGACCTGTGAGTTGCCATGGCCCCAGATGTCAACCGGGTTGAGTGCAAAGAATCCATAGCACTGGGGCACTCCTGGCCCAGCCCAACTGCCCCTCCAACATTTAGTACTTGCGAGCTCTGGGTGGAGTCCCTTTTTCATGGTGGATCCCAGTTCTTTTTTAAGAAAATGGTTCTCATGCTTGGATGTATGAGGAGCACCTGGGAGAGCTTGTTATAAATACAGACTTTGACTCCACTCATCAGTGTACAGAATCACTATGATCTGAAGTGGGTTCAAAAATCTGAACTGTTAGTGAGAGAAATTATTAAGGCTGGAATGACATCATTAATATGAAGCAAACCACTATCTCTTCTCCACCTAAGTGTTGTTGCAAAACTGTGATGGAAAGAAGGGAATCATCAAAATAATAAGTCAGTCAGGTGGAAGAGCAGATTAAGTGCCTCCTCAATCCCTTCTGTCACTACTTCAAAATGCCCTTGAAACCCACTTAAACCCTCTGAGTTTTAGAACAGCTTTTGGAAATGGGCAGAAGTAAGTGCAGTGGTTCTCTGCAATTTTTATGTGTGATCATGAAACCATTTGAAATTCCTCTATGAAGTTAAAGGAGGAATAGGGAACATGTGGAAGATCTTCCAATTTGTTCTAGCCATTGCAAGTGATTAATAGTGGAACCAAAATGTCAGAAGACGGTGTAAATAACTCAGAGTAAACCTCATGTCAGTGGCCAGTTCCCATGAATGGACATCCTGACAGTCAGGAGATCAGGTCACAGAGTGACTTGTCACATCTGAGGAGTCAGCTTTGTGTGATAGGTGGGTCAAATGTGGGCCTGTCGAGCTGCCGACAGATGTCACTGACATGGAGCCCGAGGCCCATGGGACCCATGTAATGAAAAGAAAATATTTAAAAGATGAGTTTAGCTTCTTTCCCGGCTGGAACCATGGAGGGTGCAGAAGAGAAGAAAAAGAAGATTCCTGCTGTGCCAGAAACCCTTAAGAAAAAGCGAAAGAGTTTCGCAGAGCTTAAGATCAAGCGCCCGAGAAAGAAGTTTGCCCAAAAGATGCTTCGAAAGGCAAGGAGGAAGCTTATTTATGAAAAAGCTAAGCATTACCACAAGGAATACAGGCAGATGTACAGAACTGAAATTTGAATGGCTAGGATGGCACGAAAAGCCGGCAACTTCTGTGTACCCACGGAACCCAAATTGGCATTTGTCATCAGGATCAGAGGTATCAACGGTGTGAGCCCAAAGGTTCGAAAGGTGCTGCAGCTCCTTCGCCTCCGGCAGATCTTCAATGGCACCTTTGTGAAGCTCAACAAGGCATCAATTAACATGCTGAGAATTGTGGAGCCATACATTGCATGGGGGTATCCAAATCTGAAGTCTGTAAATGAATTGATTTACAAGCGTGGTTATGGCAAAATCAACAAAAAGCGAATTGCCCTGACAGACAACGCATTGATTGCTCGATCTCTTGGGAAATACGGAATCATCTGCATGGAGGATCTGATTCATGAGATCTATACCGTTGGAAAACGTTTCAAAGAAGCAAACAACTTCCTGTGGCCCTTTAAATTGTCGTCTCCATGAGGTGGAATGAAGAAAAAGACCACCCATTTTGTAGAAGGTGGAGATGTTGGCAACAGGGAAGACCAGATCAACAGGCTTATTAGAAGGATGAACTAAAGTGTCTACCAGGATTATTTTTGTAATCTGGTCCATTAATAAACAATTGAAACAAACAAACAAAAAAAATGAGTTTATACACATTTCTCTGATTTCTTTCATTCTCTTTTTCCTGTTGTTCAAATTATCCTAAACTTGATGCTATCAAGGATATCTCACTATTTAAAATATTTCCTTAAAAAAGTATTAACTAATAAGCAAATTTTAGAAAATAGGACAAAAGAGAAAATCTTTCATAATCCCACTGTCACTTGTGGAGCATTCCAAATCTTCTTCCATTTGCAGATATATTGTTACATATTTATGATAGATGTGTCTACAGTTTTCATCTAATATTATATGCATTTTCATGCTTTGGGTATATCTTCAAAAATGACTGAGTAGGTAGACTCTCCTTAATTATTTTTTAATTTTCAGATAATTTGCTTTCTTCAATTATTTACTAACCTAACTTCCTTCTTAATAATGAAATATATTAAACCTATAAAAATTATGGAAAATGATACTGGAAATACCTATATACTTACCACCTAGAATTAGCAGTGTTTTCATGGTATTTTTAATGATGACTTTAGAAGGATGGATTATGTAATGTTAAGATAAACATCTGGACTTCCAGGTATGGCTCCAGCTGCAGAAAATGGCTCCTTAAGTTTAATCAGCTCTGTTTTCCCTACACAGGATTTTTGAAGGTAAACAGCCCCTGTTGGTTATCACAGATCCAGATGTGATCAAAACAGTACTGGTGAAAGAATGTTATTCTGTCTTCACAAACCGGAGGGTAGGCATCCATTTTCTTTAACTTTAAAATTTATTTATTAGATACGCATTTTGAAATATATTATAAATTCACAGGATGTTGTCAAAAGAGAAAATTACAGAGAGGCTGCATGTCATGTACCTTTCGTCCTGATTCCTCCATTGGCAATACATTGATTAATTAGAATACAATTTCAAAGCAGAAAACTGGCATTCATACTATCCACAGAGCTTATTGTGATTTCTTCAGTTTCATGCTCACTCATTGTGTATGTTTTGCTCTGCGAAATGAGTCCTAGGTGTAGATTTATGTAGCTACCGTGACCATCAGTGTACAGCACTGTTCCGTCCCTACAGGGCTCCTCACTGTTCTGGTGTAGTTGCAGCATGTAGCTTGTTTGTTCTTCTCATCAGGATCTTTAGCAGACAGTGCTCTTTAAACTTTGATGAGTGACTTGTCAGTTTTCCCTTTATGGATTTTGCCTTTGTTGTCAAGTCCAAATTATCTTGACCTAGCCCTAGGCCTTGAAGATTTTCTCCTATTTTGTCCCTAAGCATTAAATCATTTTATGTTTTACATTTAAGTCTATAACCCGTTTTGTGTTAGTTTCTATGTAATGTGTGAGGTTAAGTTGTTGTTTTTTTTTTTTTTAAGTTGGCTTCTAAATGTCTGAATTGCTCCAGCACCATTTATGGAAAAACTATCCATTTAAAATTATTTGTTTCATATTTATTTATTTATTTACTTTACTTTTTGCTGCCCTGGGTCTTCACTGCTGTGCTCAGGCTTGAGCCGGGCAGTGTGCAGGTGTGCGGTTGCAGAGGTTAGCTGTGGACAGGTGGGCCAGTGCAGTCGAGTGACAGTAGTCAGGACTGGCTTTAGGCATCTGAGCATATGCAGAGCCTTGTGATAGTGTTTTGTACATGCGCACCCAAAAAGATTGGCTGCTGGTGTGGATCCTGGGTCTTATAGCATCAGCGGTGGCACTAACAGGGCAGTTTTAGTGGGGTTGGAGGCAGTAGGGGGAGTAGGATTCATGAAAGTTCCTTAACACCATGAACATGGAATAAAAGGTGGTTGATTGTTCAGTTGATTGGGAGAAAGGCTGCACACACTGGTCAGTTTCAGATCGTATCAGAAGCTTCACATGGCTCTTCCTTTCCCTTTCCTGCCCCTTCCCTCCCCTCTCCTTCCCTTGCCTGCCATCTCTTCTTGGACAATCCAGCCCTAAACCCAAAGGTGGGCCACAGAAGGTGGGCAACCTCACACGTGAGGGTGGGGCTAGAGAAGGAGGACAGTGGCTCCAAGTCAGAGACCGAGTAGGGAGGGGAGGGTATCCACAGGGATGGCTGGAGAAACAGGTAACTGATCGTGTTGTCTCTTTTAGTCACTTTTTATTTTTCCAGCAAGGGAAAATGTCTCAGGCTGGGGAATTCCTTCTTGACACTGAGCAGTGCAGGCCTAGGGGAAGGAATGATGCAAACAAAATGTATCTATTCTCCTCCTGTTTTTGTGAGTTATTTTTAAGTGTGCTCTGTTGTATCGCTGACGCTTCTTAGACCTATTTTCATTTACTGTGAGCTGTCTAATTGTGAGACAACAAAGGCTGGAGTCTCCACTCTGGTGATGAGTCTCCTATCTTGAAGATGTCACTTTAGTATTTCATCATTAAAATGATATTAGCTGTAAGTCTTTTTGTAGATGCTCTTTATCAAGTTGAGGAATTTTTTTTGTTTTCCTATTTTGTGAGTTTTATCATAAATGAGTGTTGGAGCAATCTATTTTATTTATTTATTTTTTTGTTTGTTTGTTTTTTCCTATATTTTCTTTTTATTTATTTGTGTTTAGAAGTTGCAGTTTTAAGTACTATTAACAGAAAATATATAACAAAAGCTTCCTAACAAGTGAAAAAAATAATTATAAATGCTGGAAAAATTGGCCTTATTAACATATTTACAGACTTTTACTTAATACATACTCCATTGGAAATTAATTATATGACATTTATACAATCATTAACATTTCCAAATCACTCTGAGTAGTGAGCACTTCAGTTCTTTACTGTCTATACCCAAAGTTGACAGTCACTCAGTTCCTGAAGGCAATACTGACTAGCATCGGAAACGGTCAATCTGAGATGCTGTTGACGCACTGCTCTGCTCCTTCACCTAAAGACGTTTCTGTTGAGTAAGTGTCCTTATGCTTCTTCTCTTTGCTCTGATCTTCCTGTAGCTTCAGAATTATGTTTCGGATTTCTTCTCTTTTTGTTCTCATTCTTGGGGGAGGAAACCAGTTTGCCAGATTCATCGGTAATTCAAAATTGAGAATTGGATTCTCAAAAAAGCTCTCTACATACTGCAATACATATACGCCACAGTCACTGAAGTTGTTTTGTTGCGGTACTTTTGGATTAGAGCCTTTCATAACATCTTTGGAAAAACTTCTTTTGCTTCCTTTTTTAACTTCCCATTCCACCTCTAAATACTCTCTTAGAATTTTGACAACATTTGACCGAGAAGGGCCTCTGAGTGAGTCCATCAGTAGGATACAAGGTTGTTTACAGATAGTAAGCTTTAAATGCCACTGTCCTATTTCTGAACTGCAGTTGTCATCAGCAAGGAGTCCATCATCGCTGCTATCATCCTGGTTATCCTGATCTTCTGAGAAGTCGATGAGTTCATCTTCAAGCATTTTACTACCTTCAGCTGATTCATCACTGTAGTTTAGTCTTATTTTGCTTAAACCATCTGTATGGTGCATAGAACTTAAATATTCATTCTGTAGGCCATCCTCACTTTCAGTCCTATCAACATATTGCTGGCATGCAGGTTCTCCTTTATTCGATTCTTCATTTTCACTTGCAGTATGATTTATTTTTTTCAGACTACATTTCACACTGCTTATGTTTCTCCGATAACGAGGGTCACTTTCTTCCTGTTCATTATTTGAATCAATTACAGCTATGCAATGCTTTCTGTTTAGCATCTTCTTAATTACAGGCTTGGCAGCAGAGTTTTGTGAACAACTGTCCATTTCACTGGGCTTCATTAAGGGGTACAAAAATAAAATCCTTCTCAAAAATATCTACATGCCGGGTCCATGTTTTTACTCTTCCATGTCGCTTCTGCTGTATTGATAGATTAGTTGTTTCATGAAGATTTCTCCTCTCCCTTTGATTAAGGCGTTTATAGAAAAAAGAACTGAATATATGAATTCGGTCAGCTTCTTCTTTCTTCAATTTTTCAAGCACCAAATACTTCAAATAAAAGTCTATAATAACATCATTTAAAAATTCTCCTTCACTTAGACAATGCAGGTCCTCATTAGTAACGGAGATGCCTCCCTTAGCTGGAGGTGGTGGATATACTATCAATTTTTCTACAGGACCCATGAAGATGGTATGGCTCTCTCCAGTTTCTTCCTCATCATCAAAAAATTGGAATTCTTGTTTGTTTTTAAGTTGTATTTTAGATTCAAGGGCCACATTTTTAATTTTGTTTTCTTTTTGCACACAACTTCCTTTGATGCTCTCTTCATAGGTTCTTGTACAGGCAACAAGTCTGCTATTGGCTTCATCAAAGGGAATTTTCGCAAAAAAATTTGACACATTATTCTTTATACCAATGTCAGTAATAATATTTTAAAATAGCATATTTGCCTGAGGATCAAGGCCATTTTGAAAAATTAGAATTATGTATTGTTCTTCCAAAATTGTTAACTTATTTACTACTTTACAGTCATTCCAAACTTTATCCTCCATGTTCATCTGCAGTTGCATGCTCAGCTTCTGATAAACTGCCGGTGTAGTCTGAAGAAACACTACTGGTAATTTTCGGACATTACACCATTCACATTTTGTTAGATCAGAGGTATTTAAAGTAATCCCTACAGGATCATTTTCTGGTTCTTCTAGCTGTATCTTGATAAAATCTAAACAAAACTTGAGATGAATCTTTTCAGCCAGAATCTGGATTAAGTAACATGGGAGAAAGAACAACCTTGCTTGGAAATGTTGGACTCATTCTTGCAGCTTATCTCCTTCTTAATCTCTACTGCGGCAAAGGATCTTGCAGGAAAGAGTTCCTTGAATTAAAAACCGATTTATCTTGGTATTAAATTCTCACTAGATCCTGAGGCCACATGCCTACCATACCAAGAGCTCCGACATTATCTCCGCATCAGAGAACTGGAGACCCATCGGCATGCCTCTGGATTCGCCTCAACTTTTGTCCTGCCTCTCCCCCTTCGCATTCTCTGGCTGAGCCTCGGAGGAAACGCGATGGCCCTGGATTTCACCAGGCCCTGGAGCAATCTATTTTAAAACAAAATATAAATTTGAAAGATTGAGGAGATTTTCAAACAGTTTTGCTTCACATGCCTGTCCCAAGCTGAGAAATACAGTTGTCTTCTTTCCCCTTCTATTCCTGGGGAAAATGTAGGGGGAATGTTTTCCATATCATTGCATAATTTTTTTTTTCAGGATATCAGGTAGATTCATAATCTTTTGCGTAGTTAGTACTACTTAAAAAGCCCCCACCATGTCAGCACACTCGTATTTCCAGATGGTCAGGCTATAAATATATATAAAGACCGAAGTAACCTGAGGCAAAATGCAGTCTGCCAAGGCTATCTGGCTGGCTGTCACCAGTCCCTTCTCTGCATAGCCCGGGAAGATGAACTCGATCTTATTCCCTTCTATCCCCTGGAAGAACCCTTTCTGTACTACATGGTCATTTGCATTTAAAAGGAGATTGGAATATGATGGCTGGAAACACATCAAGTGGCTGGATGTCTCTTCCACATTCACAGGAACCTAGACATTCAGGATAAATGGTTATTGTGCATCTAGCATAGGGCCTGGTGCTAAAGAGATAGTCACTAAAGATTCAAGAAAATTAGAGATACCAAGGGAACATTTCATGCAAAGAGGGTTCAATAAAGGACAGAAATGGTATGGACCTAACAGAAGCAGAAGATATTAAGAAGAAGTGGCAAGAATACACATAAGGACTGTACAAAAAAGATCTTCATGACCCAGATAATCACGATGGTGNGGCTAATTCATTTCAATGTATGACAAAAACTACTGTAATGATGTAAAGTAATTAGCCTCCAACTAATAAAAATAAATGGAAAAATAAAATAAAATAAAATAAAAAAGAAGAGGGTTTTCCATGAGCAACTTAAAGAATAAGGTAGAAAATAAATTCATATCTTTGTCCAAGGAGTGGTGTGACAAATTTGAGTTTCCTAAAGTGGTTTTTATCTTCACATCCTAGAAGAGATATTGTCAGATTCAGAGTAAAATGTCACTGATGGCTCCATGCCCCTGAAAACCAGATCCTTCTAAAACTTGAGTCTCCACATTTAACTTCCCGCACTGTTGTGTTTTGTGTCTAGATGTTCCCTATCATTAGACAGTATGGAGATGTGTTGGTGAGGAACCTGAGGAAGGAAGCAGAGAAAGGCACGTCCGTTGACATAAAAAAGTAAGTAGGGGTGAAGCTGCTGGTCCTCTGAGCTCCACATGTGTTTCCTGCCTTGGAGCCAAATTCCTACTCCTGAGTCACTCTAGTGACCAAATAGAAGAAGGTGTATGGTCTTAAAACTCCAACTACCTGGCCACCCGAGAATGAGTGGTGGCTCATGAAACTATCAGAAGGTATCTTCTGTATACATGTTAAGTCCAGTTCAGTTAAGTTCAGTCACTCAGTTGTGTCCGACTCTTTGCAACCCCATGAATCGCAGCACTCCAGGCCTCCCTGTCCATCACCAACTCCCGGAGTTTACTCAGACCCATGTCCATCGAGTCGGTGATGCCATCCAACCATAAAGCTGAGCACCGAAAAATTGATGCTTTTGAACTGTGGTGTTGGAGAAGACTCTTGAGAGTCCCTTGGATTGCAAGGAGATCCAACCAGTCCATCTTAAAGGAGATCTGTCCTGGGTGTTCATTGGAAGGACTGATGTTGAAGCTGAAACTCCAGTACTTTGGCCACCTCATGCGAAGAGTTGATTCATTGGAAAAGATCCTGATGCTTGGAGGGATTGGGGGCAAGAGGAGAAGGGGACGACAGAGGATGAGATGGTTGGATGGCATCACCTACTCAATGGACATGAGTTTGAGTAAACTCCGGGAGTCTGTGATGGACAGGGAGGCCTGGAGTGCTGCAATTCATGGAGTCGCAGAGTCGGACACGACTGAGTGACTGAAATGAACTGAACTGAACTGAACTGAAAGATTTGTTGAATACATTGTTCCCAAATTATTAACATATTTTCCACAACTGTTGAGACTTCTAAAACTTAGGTAGGGTAAAATATGTTTTGCTTTCAACTCTAGGTTTTTGGTCCATTGGGAATTATGAAAAATGCTGTTTCTATGGCTGAGGATGAACAATGGAAGAGAATACGGACATTGCTGTCTCCAACCTTCACCAGTGGGAAGCTTAAGGAGGTAAGAAAAGAAGAGGTTTTTCCATGAGCAACTTAAAGAATAAGGTAGAAAATAAATTCATATCCTTATCCAAGGAGTGGTGTGCCAAATTTGAGTTTCCTAAAATAGTTTTTATCTTCACATCCTAGAAGAGACATCGTCAGATTCAGAGTAAAATGTCACTGATGGCTCCATGCCCCTGAAAACCAGGTCCTTCTAAAACTTGAGTTTCCACATTTAACTTCCCGCACTGTTGTGTTTTGTGTCTAGATGTTCCCTATCATTAGGCAGTATGGAGATGTGTTGGTGAGGAACCTGAGGAAGGAAGCAGAGAAAGGCATGTCTGTCGACATAAAAGAGTAAGTAGGGGTGAAGCTGCTGGTCCTCTGAGCTCCACTGAGCCCCTCTGTTGCCTGCTTGGAGCCAAATTCCCACTGCTGAGTTACTCTAGTGACCGAATAGAAGTAGGTGTGTGGTTTACAACTCTGACTGGCCACCCAAGAATGAGTGGTGGCTCATGAAAATATCAGAAGGTATCTTCTGGGTACATGAGCCAGGGTTAATTTATCTGCTTAACTGTCACCTTGGATATTCTGGGAAATAAAAATACACAGTTTGGTCTTGTCAGGGAGCATGATGCCTCCATCTCTGTCCTGTTTTTCAACATTTCTGTGGCTATTTATGGTCTTGTATGGTTCCGTATAAAGTTGGGGATTATTTGTTGTAGTTCTGTGAAAAGTAACACAGGTATTTTGATAGGGATTGTGTTAAATCTATAGAGTGCTTTGGGTTGTATGAACATTTAGGCAATATTAATTGTTCCTATGCATGTACATGTAGCATCTTTCTGTTTGTTTGGATTTCCTTCATCATTTTATTGTTTTCATAGTATAGGTCTTTCACTTCCCTGATTGTTTATTCCTAGGTGTTTTATTCCTTTAATGTGATTTTAAACAGGATTGTTTATCATTCTCTCTTTCTTATAGTTCTTTATTACTGTATAGAAAAGCACCAGATTTCTGCATATTAATCCTGTACCTGCCACTTTACTGAATTCATTTATTCTAGATTTTTGGTGGAACTTCAGGGTTGCCTATATAAAGTATTATTTCATCTGCAAATACTGATAGTTTTACATGTACCCTTCCAATTTGGATGTCTTTTACTTCTTTTTCTTATCTGATTACTATGGCTAGGACTTCCAATTCTGTATTGAGCAGAAGGGGCAAGAATGGGCATCCTTGTCTTGTTACTGATTATAGAGAGTACTGGTACAAAACAGACACATATCAATTGAGTAAATTTGAGAGCTCCAAAATAAACCCTTATACTTAGAGTCAATTAATCTATGATAAAGGAGGTAGGAATATATAGTGGAGAAAAGACAGTCTCTTCAATAACTGTGCTGGGAAAACTGGGCAGCTATATGTAAAAGAATGAAATTAGAACATTTTCTCATACCCTATAGAAAAACAAACTCCAAATGGATTAAAGATCTAAATGTAAGACTGGAAACCATTAAAACATAGAAGAAACAATAGGCAGAATGGTCTTTTGCCATAATTCATAACAATATGTTTTTGAATTTAACTCTTAAGGCAAAGAAAACAAGAGCAAAAATAAGCAAATGATCTAATTTTTTATTTTGCCTAATTGAACTTAAAAATCTTTTGCACAGTGAAGTAAAATATTGATAAGATGAAAAGACCACCTAGTTAATGGATGGGAGAATAATTTGCAAATGATATGATGATAAGAGGTTAGTATCCAAAAATATATAAATGTCTCATACAACTCAAAATCTAAATAACAAACAACCTAATGAAAAATGGGCAGAAGATCTTAATAGACATGTTTTCAAGCGAAGATATACAGTTGAAAAGATGTTCAACATTGCAAATCATCAGAGAAATGCAAATCAAAATCACAAAATCAGCCAACACCTGTAAGTTTGCGTGAGGATGTGGAGAAAAGGAAACCCAGGTACAAGGTTGGTGGACTGTGAATTGATGCAGCACTGTGGGATACTGTATAGAGGTTTCTCCACAATCTTAAAGGGAACTATTGTCTGTGTTCTGTCATGTCCCACTCTCTGTGACCCCACAGACTATAGCCTGCCAGGCTCCTCTGTCCATGGTATTTCCCAGGCAAGAATACTGGAGTGGGTAGCCATTCCATTCTGCAGGGGATCTTCCTGAACCAGGGATTAAACCCAAATCTCCTGCCTTGTAGGCAGTTGCTTTACCACTGATTCACCCAGGAAGCCTGAGGACTGTGATATGATTCAGCAGTTCCACCCTGGGTATACATACAGTGAAAATGAAAACACTAATTTGAAAAGGTACAGGCACCCCATTTCTTTTATCAGCTTTATTTACAGTAGCCAAGATATGGAAGAATTCAAGTATCTGTCAGTAGATGAATGTTAAAAGAAGATCTGTCACATGTGTGTACACACACACACACACACACACACACACCCCACTGTAGAAAACAAACTGGTGGTTACCAGTGGGAAGTAGGA